CTAGTTGCTCTTTGCCGAGTGTGAAGCTCCCAACTCTTATACTGCAGCAATTTAGTCTACTGAAAAAGAACAGTGGAGATTAGCCATAAAAGAAGAAATGGATTATTTGGCTGAAAATGATACCTGGGACCTAGTAACTTTGACAGAAAATAAAAGGTTGATTTAAAGTAAGTGGGTATTTAAAATAAAACAAATCACAGCTGAAAGTATTAGCCGCTACAAAGCTGTATTGGTAGCAATAGGTTATAGCCAGAAATTTGGAATAGATTTTGATGAAACCTTTAGTCTTGTGGCAAGATATGATGCAGTCAGAACAGCTTAGTGTAGCTGCATCTGAACGTCTAAAACTGTTATAATTTGACGTGAAGACAGCGTTTTTGTATGGTTAACTGCTGGAGGAAATTTATATGAAACAGCCAGAGGGATTTGATGATCATACAGGAAGAGTTTGTAAACTGAAACGTGGCTTGTATGGACTTCAAACAATCTCCACGATGTCGGAACAAGTGGTTTGTAGATTTCATCAGAAATGAAGAAATGATAAATAGTTCAGCTGACTTATGTTTGTTTCTACGTATGAAGAATAACCAGATATTAATTGTAGTAATTTACGTAGATTATGGACTCGTGGCTTGCAGTAACGAGTGTGAGATGATGAAATTCATCAACGACCTAAAAGAAAATTTGAAAATTACTATTGGTTCATTGGATAGTTTTCTCAGTGTACAAATAAACCAGATGGCTAAAGGTATTTTTGTAAATCAAAGTGCAGTCAGGTTTTTGGATATATATTCGATGTAGTTATTTTTCCTGTTGAAATTATTAATCGGATTCTTCAGTCACAACCCTATAAGTTCTACAGTAACATATTTATATGTTTTGAGAACAAATTTTCTATGACATAGTGTTATATACCTCAAACATGCCCCTATAAGATTTGCATAATAAGAGTTACGACAGAGGTTTGACCCACCCCGTATATAAATTATTATTATCTTCATACTTTCTTTTATTTATTTGAAATAATATTATGAGTATTTAAATTATGAAATATGATTAGTATAAAATTGTGTTGCAGCAACAAAGTCGGGATTAGATTCCTATAAACAATTATATAATAACCATAAAAATTTTAATATTGGGTAGTTTAGTTAGTAATATGAATAAAAATAATAGTCAGCTAACGACATAATGTGGTAAAGATAGTCAGTTGAAACGTAAATAAAACTTTACGATGCAATGTTTGGATTCAATGAATAATTCATCATAATTTTATATTATAAGTTAAGCTGATGCACTTTATTTAATTTAAAATGATTTTTCACCTTAATTTTTTAATTCTGGTTTATGCAAGTATCTGACAAATAATCCCCAATTCTTAAGGACAGCGTCTCCTAGGAATTTCTGAACAAAATTATGTCAATTTAGATTCAACCAAGGAGGTGCTGTTACCTACCAACTAGAGATTGAATTAGTACAAACTATTACAGAAATCTTTAAGTAACTATAAATATAGACCGACTAGCTATTAGGGGATATTGTATTATATTGTATTATAAACCGGTTTTTAGTAGACTGAGTTCGAAGGATCATAATAATAGTCCTAAACATAAAATCTATTTTTCAATAATTGCCGGGATTTTACCAAATAAAAAAAAATATTTCGCGATTGTGAAAACGGTCCAATCGTTTCATATGCCATTTATAATATTATAAAAATGTTAACTCTAGGACTCATTTTGGAGTATGAGCATACTTTATTTCAATACTTTTATTCATAAAGTATTACCTACCTACTACATTTTATTTTTAACGAAAATCGACTTTGTTTCCTGGACCAAAGTAAAGAATGTAGGTAGGTATTATGCAGATGGCAACAACAAAAACGATATCTTGCCTCACATTAAATATAAATATTTCCTAAAACAAATAATTTGGTTTATATACGGGTAGCAATACGAGGGATGTTTATAATTTCAAGTCACGAATATAGAGTCGTTTCAAAATATATTGCCACAATAATTGCGTCACATTGAGTCGGAGTGAGACGCTTGACGTGTCGCAATTCGCAATATATTTTAAAACTATTCTACCTAATTAATAAATTGTGATTTTGAAGTATCGAATGAAAACTATATTCTCATTGGTTAAAGATGGAAGTTTTTGTCATTTGAATGTTCAGGAATATTAATTGTGATTAATTGGTTAAATACCGAAGTTATCTGTTATCTGATGTTGGTACTAACCTAATGTTTTTGGGTAATTTTGACGGTCATTTCCTGGAATTTCCAGGCTCGCATAAATATTTATCCTATTAAAGTACAAAAACCCTACAATAGATATTATGAGTAGGTATTTAACATTCATTTATCTTATCTTATCTTAGGTAGTTATTTCCTAGAAACATTTCCCTGATTATCAATAACACATTACCGTATATCTGTGCCAATATGACGTCACGACTTTTAATATACTTAATGAAGGCTGGGGGAAGGAGTTAAGAGTCTATAAATTTACAAACAAGCTTACGGGTATTTAGTTTTCAAAATTACATCACACGTTTCTGAAGTGTTTTATTGTGCTGTTTGTTTTTAATAAGTGTTATTTTCTTTAATAGAAAATTGATTTATTTGTGCCAAGTGTCCTAGTGAGTTTCATTGTACATTTTAATCAATTTTATTTTTGGATAAATTGACATCGACTTCCTGCATTAAAGGTAGGTAGTATTTTTTTTCTATCACTCTCGAGTTCGTCACTGAATAAAAAAATTAAACGCTATAATTTTAACATTCAAATATTTGCACTTAAAAAATAATATTACGTATTAAATTTGACAATAAAAAAACTTGTTATTTAATAATAATGTTTCATTATTCTAAATATATTTTTTCTACGATCAATATCCAAAGTAGGTAGGCTTTTGCACATTAAAATCTAAATAAAAAGTTGACGTTTTCTGCGAATTGTCATAATTTGACATTATTGGCGCACATTACCTAATATTCAAACCCATTTCCATGCTTAAAAATTGAAGATGGTGACATTCATTTAAAAGAAAACCATAACTACTTTTACCAGGTGAAAAATTTCAATATGTTAAAATAATTAATGATTTTTAAGAAATGTGCTAGAAATGATACTACAATATTAATATTCTTTTTATGTTTGATTTTCTAATAATGATTTTATATACTTTTAGATTCAAGGACAGCTAGGTATAGCTCAAAGAAAATTGTGCTACTTTGTAGTATATACTGGAGATGAAAATCCACTATTTGTTGAAAAAATTAATTTTCAACCCATTTTTTTTTAAAATATGGTTGAAAAATTAGAAAAATTTTACTCGGAATATATGGCACATCAGATAATTTTAAATAGAAGAGGACGAGGATTAAAATGTCTGGATACCCCATAGAATGAAACTTAAAGTGCAAAGATTAGCAATTTTATAAAAATAATAATTTAATGGACTTTAATGATACAAGTACTTGAAATAATGGTTTTTTTTGCGCAGAAGCATGTTCATACGTAATTTGCAATTGGTAATCACTAATCACAGATGGAAAAGTATATACGTCAACGATATGTTCTCTTATTTTTGATTCATTTTAACAGGTATAATATATGGTATGTTACTTATAGTATAGATTTTTTTATTTCTCGACCTAATTTTTTTGTTACGTCTTCAGCAATTGTCGCTTTCAGTTGACATAAACGAAATTGATAAAAAGTGTTTTTCGCATTTTATTTTGACTGTTTCTCTTACTTTCGAATAGAAACTGAGCTTTGTAAACATAAAATGACGGATATGTCAAACTAAAACTGACGGTAAAATGAAACATTGAGTATCGTTAAATGCAACTTTTGAACTAGTTTCAAAAATAGCATTATAATGATATTATCATTCACAATGTACTAATTTCCTATACTTTTAGTTGATAAATAACCGATAATCATACATCATATAACAAATAGGCGCGTGTCAAAAGGTCAGAAAAAAGAGTGCCGATGAAAAAAGGTCGTTTCCAATTGTATCATATAAACAGTATCAGAGGCAGTATTATCATCTCGTATATCCCCCGTAAACACACTTAATATAAACGGAAATAATCAAATACTAGTCAAAATATTATCGATCGGAGCACCATCTTTATTGCATTACATGAAGTAATTATTGATTTTTCGGGGTTTATTTAGAGTTAAATTAGACGCCATTTTTGGTCCAAATTCGTTTTGACATGTTTTTTCAAAGAAAGTGACTTATAAATTTCAAATCTACACGTTTTGAAAAATATACAATATTTAAATATTCTGAGTGTACCAAATTCCAAGTAAAGGTTGAACTTAGGTCGTATTACATTTTTTTTTTATTATTTGTTTGACATCGAGGTTAAAATAATTCTAGACGGCACCTTTGAGATGAAATAAAAGGGGGTTATTTTACATGATTGGTTTTTATTGAAAATAATAAATTTATTAATTTTCAATAGTAAGGTGACCTAAGTTAGACCTTTATTTTTAATTTGGCCAAAAATTAGATTTTTAAACACTACATATTCGGAAAACTGTCGATTTAACTTTTGGTCTACACATACAATTTTAATACACAGGGATACCCCGTCCTTAATGCAGCTTATTAAATTTAGTTTTTTTTTTGTTTATTACATTTTAAACAACTATACCCACCATTACTAAAGCAGCTAACAGTCAGAACAATAATGAACTGGTATAGAAATATTGTTATTTTCAACGCTATCTCCCGGACTAAATGTTTAGATGTTACACAGCGGTACGCGACATTGTTTTTAAACAATCAATAGAAAAATTCCTGATTTCTAAAAATTCCTATTTACGGTACATAATCTTTTCAAAACGGAGCCTAAAATAGCCGTTTACTTATTATGATAAACTTTAGCATTCTTTTATTCCGGTGTCAATGTATTGTATTTGACCCAGGCCAATAAATATCGGTAATTACTTATCTATATATAAGCCAACCACTCAAATAAATTATTGTATTAGTTTTGCTAAGAAATAATCATGAAGTACGGTTGTATTATCTTCTTCTGCTTTCTAGCAGTGGTAAGTAAAATAAATATCTTTTTTATTTTTGTTTCGAAAAATATATTTGCAACTAACATGCATTTCAAAAATATAAGGCTATGTAGGATATACAGGTATAAATATTTAAGGTACACTGTATATATAATTCAAAAGTACTTAACTAAAGTTTCAATTTTAAATCTTAGAATCTAATGCTCTACTCGCTAGTCTGTTAACTACTTAATTCACTAAACTAACGTGTAACACTAAACTGCACAATATTTTACTTTGTTATCAATTTATCAACACTATCACTTGGCTAACTTAAAAGGTTAAGTCTTTTTGTCAGGCTCGTGTTGTCGAGAATCTGGATCTCGTTAACGCTCACATGTTGGTGGAGTCGTTATTCGCGACTCCTAGCGAATCTGGTGATAGTCTGGTCAACAGTCAACAGTATCCATCTAATGGTCTTGATGTAGGTCACCGTTTCTAATATATCAAGCAGCATCGACAATGTTCCTTAATACTTTATTTTGAAATCGCTGGATTATTAAAATAATATTGTTGCTGGTTGAACCCCAGAACTGAATGCCATAGGTCTAAATTGGCTTGAGGACTTATTCGTATAAAAAAATTTTGTTAAATGTAAATAGGCTAGAATGTTTACTAAGTAACCATTTCTTGAATTTTATATTCAAATATTGTTTTTTCTTTTAAAGATGGACCTTCCAGCGAAGTCTTTCATTAATGTAATACCTAGATATTTTGCTGAATTAGCAGAAGGGATCTGGGCATTATTTATATTAATTGGTAATCGTTATTCATTTTTGCTAGTAAAATTAATATTGACAGATTTGCTTTCATTTAGATTATTACGCCATCTTTTGGTGCAGTTATTTATTTGATTACCTGATATTTGTAGTCTATTTATCTTTGTCTATCGCTAATATGGCAGTATTATGTGCAAATGTGGCTATTGTGTCTTGTTCTCGTTAAGTTATATAATAGGTGTATATCAGATACAAAGTGGGTCCCGGCACGCTTCCCTGTGGTACTCCTGTTTTAATTTCTTTCAATTCAGAGTATGCTTCATCTTGTTTTAGTCCATAGAAACTTTCGTAATTTATTCTTCTGTTAGTTAGTCAAAGAGCGCTTTTCATTTGGATAATGGTGTTAGTAAAAGTAAGAAGAATGAGCCAATGATCTGAATTCATGTCCCGTGCCTCACTAACTTGAATGGTAGTTTACGGAAATATTTTGTATAACAAAACAGTCTATTAAGTCGAGTATTTTTTTATTTCTATATCTGGGCCAAAAAGTTGATTTGCCAGTTGATTTCGACACACATTTTGGCAGCGTCATTGCTTTTTTTATGTTTTTACCCTTAACTATTGTTGGTCAGGAGCATCGATGGGTGTGTGTTCAATTGAAATCGCCTCCAATGATACATCTAGGTACTTGACTATTAAATAAATCTAGGTATTTTTCTTTTTTAATGATATGCCTTGGAGGGCAATATGTAGAAGTGGCCATAACATGGACTATGCTCATTTAAAAGGAACCAAGCGCCGAATTAAAGTTTTGAGATATTAGAGGTTAAAAATGATAATGCTTTATTAAAATACTAAGTATGGAGAACTCAAAGATGGCTCCATGGGGGCCATTCCCCCCGAGATGAAAATTCTTCTGATTTATGGGCCTTTTATTCAAAAAGGTATGCTAAAAAGCGAATGGCTAAAGGTAATGCCCCTCTTCTAAAAATTTGTCTTGGCATCGCCCTTGAGAGAACTCCATTTTTTTTTTTTTTAATATTTATAGTCAGATAGTTAATATGTTATCATACGAACAATTTTATTAAATTTCTTAAGGTAAAAACTTGAGTTTGAAGGTACTGTTAGTGGATGATTCCTTTTGAATAAACAGCCAAACATAAATTTTAGATTTTTAGATGCAACCAAGTATCACAAAACTTCCATTTCTATTAAAAAGTAAGAACGTTTAAAGAATAGATCTATTTAAATAGATGGTATAGCTTTATCAAAATAAAAAAAACATAACAATTAACTAATAATAAAGGAGTTGGATAGGTTTTTATTCATTTACTTTGCCTTCCTGAATTTCAAAATCCAAATTTGGCCCAATTTCATGGAATAAATCGCACCAGTAATCTAATGTCTTCAGCTATTAACTTCATGTACGCCAGAGCCTGTTCCCTTGTTAGTTATTTAAGTATTTATCTATTTCCTCGTTCCAGTTACAGTTGACCAGTTGTTCGAGATTTTCAGTGTGTATGCACTCGTTCTGGCCTCCTCCTTTATGATTAAATCGAGAGGTGGGAGGTTTAGAATGATTTCAATAGAGGCTGTCGGTGTACTTCTCAGTGCTACTGTAATACAAAGGCATGCCAGCCTCTGTACTCCTGAGGGCTGTTTTCTGGTTTACTTTTTGTCACCAAACAACCGCTCCATAAGTTATCATCGGTCTTGTCATTACCAAACATAGCCAGTGGACCATTTTTGCTTTTAATCCCCATATTTTTACAAATGCCCGTCTTTCTGCAATGAGAGATTTGTTAGTCACTTTTTGTAAGTGTTGGTTCCAAGTAAGTTTGCTAGATAGGAATAGACCCAGATATTTTACTTGGTTCGTTTTGTTTAGCCTTCATCGGAGTCGGAGTTTCTAAAACCTCCAACCTTGTTTTCCGAGTAAAGGTTGTGAGTTGTGCCTTACCAGGGTTTACCAAGAGATTTTCCCTAACGCACCACATTTTGTCAGCCTAAGAGCTCTTTGCAGTTCAAACAGTGTGGTTTGGTGTTTCCCTCGGATAAGGATGACTATGTCATTGGCCTATCCTTGGGCATACAGCCCTTGATTGTTTACTGTTTTCAGCAGTTCACCTGCCACTAGGTTCCACGGTAGAGGAAAAAGGACTCCACCCTGTGGGCATCCCCTGTAAATATTCACCTGCATGGTTTCACTGAACATTTGTGCCTATACTTAATGTCCGCATAGCATGTCTTCTATCCACCAGCAGACGGTGTCCTTAATTCCATGTTTGCGAGCGGCGGCTACCATTGATTTAAAGGAGGTATTAACAAAACCTCCTTCTATGACAATAAATGCTCCTAGGACTATTTCTTGGCTACTGAGTCCTTCTTATATCTTAGTTACAAGATGATGCTGAGCAGACACAATATTTTCCTGATTGATATGTATGTTGGTTTTGTCGGACATGCTAATCAATCAGTTTTCCAATCCTTTCGATAGAAATGACGTCAAAGTTATTGATTTATAGGCCTTTGCCACGGCATACGTTGGACGCCCCGGTGTAGGTATGAAGATAACTTTGTTTCCTTTGTTTCCAGGTATTTGGTACACGTTTATGCACCAAACTTACCCAGTAGAGCCTACAAATATGCGATGCCAGCGTTTCTATTGCCTGTTGCAAAAGTACAAGCAGTACCCCATCTGGTCCCGGTGATTTGTATGGATTGAAGATGCGTATTGCCCATGTTACTTTCTCTGTTGTAACTACCCGTTTAGCAGTTTTTCACTCTTAACTGAAGACCCTTTTTTGAGAGTTCTAGTTCGTGTGTGTTTGGTTTGCTGCATTAGAGTTTGTTGTGCAATCAGGGAAATGAGTTTTAAGAAGTAGTTCTAATGTTTTCATTCCAGTTTTAGTGTATTTCCCTGTTTGGGTTTTTAAAGTCCCGAGAGGGTTTATTGGTTCTTTTCCTAGAATTGCGGCGTAGTCTGCATCCTTCAGTTGTATTTTCAATTTCCTGACAGAATGTTCTTCATGAATCCCTCTTAGATTTCCTAAGAGTTTTGTTATACTCTGTGAGTGTTTCGGTGTATCCCCTCCACTCATTCGTCTTTTTAGCCTTATTAAAAAGTTTACGTGTTTTCCTTCTGAGTTTGGCGAGTTTGTTGTTCCACCAGCTCACCTCTCTACAAGTTTTTCTGTTCTTTAACAAGGAGTTATTGTGATATGATGTTATAATTGCGTTCCGTAGTTGTTCTGCAACTTTATCTATATTATTTTTAGTATTAAGAGTTATTTTACCGGTTTTTAACCTGCCTCCAGCTCCACTCCGTATCCAAACCAATCGGTGTTATGTGGGTCTCGGTATACATCTCCTGGTTTATCGACGTTGTCGATTTCCATGGGAATATGCCGATGATCTGAGAGCAAAGACTTTCTAGACCCATTTCACGTGCCAATGTGATTTGAAACGAAAGAAGAACCAAGGGTAATATTAAAAATCTCGCTATGTCTACTGGCTACAAAAGTAGGTTCGTTTCCACGATTCAATATTTTCAGGTTAGTGGTTAGAATGAATTCAAGTAAAAAGTTTCCTCTTTTGTTGTTGTCCTTGCTGTCTCATGTTATATGGTGTGAATTTGCGTCAGCAGCAATGAGTACATGCATGTTTTTAGCCCGACAGGTATTTACTAAATCCCTTAGCTCATCTGTTGGTGGAGGGCTGGGCGAGTCATAGGGAAGGTATGCAGAGGTTAAAATGAGTGGCCTCTTGTTCCCTGCTATATTTCAATTCTGATTGCTACTAGGTTTCTAAAATAAAATCTTGTAAATTGAGGATGTCTAGACCATTTCGTATGTTTCCACAAGTTTTTACATTGGGTGTTGTATATTAACTTACCTTTGGTTTGTCCGTGCCCCATCATATGCCTTTTGTAGATCCAGGGTTCTTGTTTTAGGGCTACGTCTATGTCCTCCATGATAATGGTACGTGCAAGAGTTACGGAGGCGGCCTCGCAGTGTCTCAGAATAGCTTACACTCTTCTGAACATCTGAAGGTACTTCCTTTCTCTTCCTTTGCACTCTTAAGATTGCCTACGTTAGGCCCAGATAGGGTTTTAACTGCATGTTTTCTAAAGCCTTCAGAGAGTCGTCGTTAATCAACAGTACAATGGTTTGACCGTTGTCTTTTACTTGCCTGTGAATGACTAGCCAGGTTTCGTTTGGAGCCCTTGTTTTTGGGTTTTGAGGTACGTAAGTACCTTTGTTGTTTTTA